TTCATTTTGGCACGTTTACATTACAAAGACTCTGTTAAAATTAAAAATTGCACAATTGTAGCGCAAAGAGATTTATGATATTTTACCTATCGCTAAAGTATTCATGAAACGTCACTTAGAGAAATTTTGAATTAAATTGGAGGGTATATGACTGTTTTATAGCCATTTATAAATGATAAACACGTAAAAACACAGCCAAAAATCGGAACGTCATTGAGCGTCATGGAGCACTGCACTACGTAAAAATTATGTTTGTAAACAGTAAAATGTCTAAAGAAAATATTAAAATTTTCAAGATGCTGCCGGAAATTTCCTACACACACAAAGGACAAAAGTTTTCAAATTGTTGTAACTTCATAGAAATGGAAGGATTAATATTTTGAATGATTAACCCCATCGATACTTCAATACCCTCTTATCGCATGGACGTTGTGCTTATATGGTTTTGCATAGTTTTCATACTTGATCAATTTACTGCATAGACGTTTTTAAAGATCTCAAAAATATCCGAATCAATACAATCCAATAAGTACAAAAGACATTATAGTAGAAAGGTAACATGTCTTGATATAGATATTCAATTCTAAAGTAGAAAAAAGATAAGAAAAATCTGAAGAAAGGAAAGATTTGTAGAAGTGCGACAAAGCAATTGGTTTTATATTGACTTATTTGGCATATCTTCATTTTTTGGTAAAGTTTGTTGAAGGTAGTTGTAAAACTTGTTCTAAAAATATAAATTAATACCTACATTAAATATTCCTAGCAATATCATAATGGAAAATAGTCTCTGAGAAAAAGTATGTGAGTCTAAAGTTCCAAGATATCAAATTTAATAACTGTGCAGATTTGCAGAATTATCTGCGAAATATCCTTCCACCACAAAAATTTCACAAATCTTGCTTCTTTGTAGCTTTTTGAGCAGTTTTTTCGTTGAATGTTAAACCATTAACTTGACTGAAATTAAATATGTTATAAAAATTGAATTTTGATAAATAGTTTTGAAGTAAGAGGTTCTGCGTGAACTTTTCCAAAAAGCTGACGAGTGACCAACCTTAAATTGAACTTTATGCTCGTAAAAGTAAATAAATAAATACCTTGACAAAAACCTTGAAATTTTTTGTCAGTAACTGGTACCTGGCAAATGCCTTTTAATGACAATCAAGTAACATGCACACAACCTTGCAACTAGAATGAATATGATTCACATCATTCAAAAAAATATTAGCAAAAGCATTACCATACACAAACCTTGGGACTTTCCAATTTTTCTACATTTCAAAATTAACCTAATAATGCAACAAAAATATATTTCTTGATGCAATGTTTTTTTTTCAATGTTTTATATATTAATCTTTGGCATCATTGCGATTATTAACTATTGTAAATAGAAATTGTGACTTTTGAAATAATTTTTAAAAATATGATTTAAAATTTACAAAAATAAAATTACTGTGGCAAATGAAAAGGTAACAATTATTATTAATTTACAACTTCCCCTAAAAAACAAATCAATGAAGCAAATATAGATTTGTTCATCATGAAATCACATATCGCTTCTGTTTTGTCATCAACAAAATTCTGCAAGTGCACCTGAGTAACCTGAAATTGATGTTATAATAATGCTGGAGTCCTTCATTGATTGATTAATTGTATATTGTTTAACGTCCCACTCGAGAATTTTTCACTCATATGGAGACGTCACCATTTTCCGGTAAAGGGCTTTAAATTTAGACCTATATTCGGCACTCAGCGCCATTGAGCAGTGAGGAATCTTTATCGTGCCAACGCCTACCATGACACGGGACCTACTTTTTTAAGGTCATATCCGAAAGACCCGTGTCTTTAACCTCTAGTGCCGAGCGCTTGGCGAAGGAACAGCTACTTTCTATGTTCGTCTTAGGTATGACGCGGCGCCGCGAACGAGAATCGAAATATAGATTTTTTTTTGTTATAGCTCAACATTTCCTAAGCTGAATAAAACCCCTTACCAGCTCTAATCCATCTTATACCCATATATCCCTTTCTAAGGAAAAAGAAATCTTCAAAATGACTTGTCTTTTAGATATTTTTAATATTTCAATAAACCATAGCAGATTTGAATAACCATATCTATATTGGATTCCAAAACGTCATAAAAATTTTAACAAAGTTACTAGCTGGTTCCAGTAAGTGTTCTACCAAGCCTCCTTCTTTACTCCTCACTAAAATATAATAGTAGTGAAATAGAAACTTAAAGAGTACTGTGCAGCAATATATTCTAGAAGTGGTGTAAATCAGATGTGGATATATTAAAAATCCAGGGAAATTTTGGAAAAATTGAAATCATAAAATTTTACCAAAATCAACAGCAATAAAACTTTTGACTTTTCATCTTTATTGACAACCATTCCCCACGATAAATTAAAGTCAAGGCTTTTTGATATCATTGACAGCTGCTTTTTCAATACAAATGAACCTCGTAATTTACACACCTTGTTATTGATTTTTTGCAAAATTATTTTGTTAGAAACATTCAGATTGTACACACATGTACTCTGAAGTTGATATTGAAAAATGCTTCTGGTCAACCATATCTGAGTGGTTTTTGAAGACCAGATCTTCCAACAATCTATTGGAATTCCCATGGGTACTAAATGCGCCGTTATTAACGGACCTATTTTTGTATTCGTATGACGCTGAATTTGTCCAAACTCTTAGATAAATTCAAAAGAAGAAAACACTTGCTAGGACCTTCAACTCGACATGTGTATCGACGACGTATGGTCAATTAACAATGGTTATTCCCATTGTTATGTCGATAAGATATATCCCCGTGAGCTTGAAATAAAAGATACCACAAAGTCTGAAACATCTGTATCATATCTTGATATTTAAATTTGAAAAAGACATTTTTGGTAATCTAACAATTAAGCTTTATGATTAATGTGATTACTTTTACTTTTCATCGTCAACAGTCCATTATACCTTCATCACCTGCATACGGGATTTGTATCTCTCAGTTGATTGGATACACAGGAGCATGCTCTACCTATGAACAACTTCTTAAACCAGGTAAGGTATTGACAATATCAGCATTCTCGTCTTAAGTCAACATTTCGTAAATTCTATGGTGAACACTGTCAGCAAATATAATTTTTTATTAAGTCAAATGCTGACTGACGTTTTTCAATCTAATTGTTAGGCCATTTTAACACCCTTATTTGTCGACGTATTTTTCTGTTATTTCCCATTCATGACAAGGAGCACACGGCGGGTGTCAGCGGTCGACAAGAAATACTCATTTCATGGCACCTGATTCAACCTCTGATGTTTTTGAGGTCCTTGATTGCTTTGCTCTTTTGTATTGTTTAAAAAACTGTTAAACCTGAATACTGTACGATATCTTCATAGATTTCATCGATTCAATTGTTATTGATTAGAGCGACATTGAAATCTTAAGCAAAAAGGTGGATATACTACAAATATATCGACAAATTTAGAGTTGATAATCATTAATTAAAGATTTTACCTGAATGATTTGGAATAAAAAAAAAAAACCGAGAGGACTACTGATTTGTGTTTTATAGCGCAAAATTTACATTGCAGGTCATTTTCATTAAATTCCTATGCAAATCGCTGTCTTTTAAAATATATATATTTTTCATATATTACTTTATCTGCAAGACTCTAAGAAAAATACCATAGTGCTATTGATACTTTAATGTTAGTTTGTAAATTATACTTTTATTGCTTTGTTTGCATCGCTGTTGGATTTTTTTCGTTTAAAACTTAGATATATACCATGTTAAAAACGCTATTTTTCTAGAATGATACTCCTTCATTCCAAATGCTTACATGGTATATCACATTCATATACTTAACTTTTATGTAAACCAATTGCATTTTTTTAAAACATTAAATTAAAGAGCGCTATAAAGGTGCCTCCTTCTTAGTCAAAGCGTCTGATATTACATTTGTTTTTGAAACTGCTCCCGCAAACACCGGGGATCACATTATATCAGACATTGTTATTTTGGAATATTTATATTCTTTTCTAATTTTAAATATACTAAGCTTGTAAAAAAAAAATTACATCCATAAAGAAACCTTTTAAAAGAAATAAAACGTTTAAGATTATTGTCATACCATTTGATCTTTATTTCAACTGTTTGTACAATTATTCAAACATGAACGATTGTAATCATTCTTGAACAAGATGTTGCATAGCCTGTAAAAAAGGAAATAAGATGTGAGAGATCAAAATTTTAAAATTATTTTTTCTTCTGAATTAAATCCAAAATAATAATTTAGTCGGAACTATAAACTTAAATTTACAACACTTGCCTTAACTCCATTATCGACCCGAACTATAAGATCCCGAGCTGTGGGAATCTGACCAGCTCCTGGACCATCCTCCGGGGGTAGCGAAAGACCCCATGACGTAGACGGTCAGGATAACCAGAACAAGGAGCAACAATAGCTGAACAAAGTTCATTGTTATCTTTGAGAAAGTTGAACTGTCAAACCAACCTAGAACAGGATAGAATTGCAAAAGTGTTTTTAAACATTTGATATTACAATTGAGATTAATGCTTCGACTTATCACATAGACATCAATGTACCACAATATCAAAATACGTTTAAACTTGAAAAACTACAATAATGTCGTAATACGTTTAATACATATCAGAATGGAATATTTTTTGATTCAATTCTTACCCGATGATCGTCTTTGAAAACTTTCTGCTTTACAAACGAAAGACTTCCTCTATATATACACAGATGGATTTGAAACCTTTATATGTCAATGACTTAAAAAAGTTAAAATCTTAATTGACGACCTCGGATGTATATTTCTCCAACGCCAAACAACAAATTAGATGATAAAGCCAAAATATTCTGTGCATAGATTTGCAAATGAATAGTTACGATGCAGTACTGCATAGCAGAGAGCAATTGCGGTACTTCACGAAGAACTTTTTCATATTCCAATAAAACCACATCTCTGCAACTGGCATTTGTTATTCAGAATTATACTTGATATAAAACTTGTTAACAATTAGAATGAAAACTAGTTAAATCACCATTCGAAGAAATCATACATTGTATTTACACACAAGGGCATTGTATCGACTAAAGATCCTACAAATTGTTTCATTTCAGAGGGCAGGGGGTGGGGGTGGTGGTGGCCATTTTTATACTACACATTTATAATGATCTCTTTTAGAAGAAAAGTTCTATATTAAAATATACAACAATGATCAAATTTTAAAACTGAAATGTATGATATTTTTCTGTTTAAAATAACAGTTGACAGCTTACGATATATCTACAAATTTAAGTTGTATCTGATGATTAATTTGTTGAACCCCAGCTATCATAAAAAGAGTCCATGACTAAATTGATTGAACATATTTTATTGACAAAGAGTCAAAAGGATCAGACACAAGTTTAGAAACTTAGATAGTTTTCTACTAATAAACATTTTATAAAATTGCCATAAATAAAAAGAAAAAAATATATATACATATGGTCTTCTACAAATACATTGTTTTGATAGAGAAAAAAAAAGATCTTCTTAAGGGGGCCGACTATAGTTTCCATTGCGCAATATTTTGCGCATCATAGTAAAATGAAGCGTATTTACGGTTTTAATGCAACTTTTTTCGCTTAATTATTAAAATTAAACAAAATTAAGAAAATAAAGGTATAAAACTGTAATTAGAATTTGATATAACTGATTTTTTAACCGGTTTTGCAATTGATAGGTAGGTTGACGTCGTTGCAGTGTGTTTTTGACGTTATGATAATCTGTAGCTATTACAGAAAGGGGAAATAGAAATATCATTAAAGAAAAAGTAATAAACATACGCTCTTGAAATTTAAAACATAGAAATTTGAGAATATCTCCAATATTTTTATTAGGTTTTCATGTGAATCCATTGTTTGCGTCATATTTTGTAATACTCTATAAAAATAGTAAAATTTGCTAATTTTTTGCATTTGAGATGCCCCCTCTGATAACAAGACGGTAGAATTTTTGTGTTTCTTACATATAATGTATAATATGGTATTACTCATCAACATTATAGTTTGAACAAAATGTCTATTTTAGTATTTGTATAATTTGCTTTAAAGTGCTAAAAATTGGCATTTTCCTATATAATCCTATAGTAAATGTACCTGTATTATGAGACGGTCCCTCAAAAATACCTAGACTAGATTTCCCCCAAACTTTGCATGTACACTGAAGTTAATGTAACTCGTACGAGGGGTGTTAGAAAAGTTCGCGGACAAGTTCTATTGTGAGCGCGCTTTTTCCACGAAACCGGTCAAACTTTCCAGGTGAAATCTTAACCTATTTTCCAATAAATAAACAAAAATTGCACAATTGTAGCGCAACGAGATTTATGATATTTTACCTATCGCTAAAGTATTCATGAAATGGTTTCTTAGTTTGAAATTTTGAATTACAATTTCAATTTCACTGTTTTAAGCCATTTATAAATGATAAACACGTAAAAACACAGCCAAAAATCGGAATATTTCTGTTTATTTATTATATACTTAATTATTTAGATTTAACTTAAGATACATGTGTAAGATATAACTTGTGATAGTTTCATAGTTTCACTTTATTTAGAATATATTTTATTCTCAAAATCTTTATTGGTAGTTATGATGACATCATAAAAACAATAAAACTTTCAGTTTCTTTTATTATCATAACAATCATTAGAGTGCAAAAAACATGCTAAACAAAATCATTGATAACAAAAGACAATGTATCACATCATCATATAGCTGTCTTGAATTGCAAATATATATTGTTATATATATATATATATATATATATATATATATATATATATATATATATATATATATATATATATATATATATATATATATATATTTCCAGGGTACAGGCTCTCAATTCACTCGGTATGTGAGCGAAATCTTTTCTGCAATCGTACTCACAAGGAAACCATTCCGAGAGACAGTCCATCAGGCACATTGGGGGCATGGCGGGACGAACAGCCGCAGTGTGCACCAAACACAGGCACAAGGAGACAGCGAGTAGCATGAACACGTTTTTCCCCTAATCAAAACAAATCATTGTGAGTAACTTATCCTGCACAAACTATTGGACACGTCTTATTCAGTCTTCTGTGATATTTAAGAACTTGTGCCCAATCCCATTGTATATATTTAATGCAATAAAATATGTTCATATTAGATCAAAACAAATCATACAATATAGTTATTATTGACATGAAGAACTTCAATTATATAATTTCATTATCTGTGAAAAATGAAAACTTTTTTTTCCAAATTAAGAGATATTCATGAATCATATTCCAAATCATTTTCTTTGGTTTTCTGCTTTTTTGGTCAGAAAAATATGTAAATATTTTTTTATTAATCCATATTTTCCTTCCATCCACCATAGACCAAATGTGTCAATAATTTGCTTCTAAGTTGATTTTTTTTTTAGAAATGTTTGAATATCAAAATAGAAATTCAATATGAATTCTAAAAATTAAGATCTAAAATTGAAGATTCTAAAAATTATTTCTTTTTTAATTTAAGTAAAATTACTTTATCACTTTTTGGTGTAATGATGATTTTTATTTAATTTTTATTTCAATCTATTAAGTAAAGAAGTAAAATAATTACTTACCATCTTGCCTGTTGTTCGCTTGCAACACACAGCCTTCTGTGGTATCCTTCCATTTTTATAGAGGATGACCAATTTACATAAAACTTATGCGACAAATATCTGAATAAATTTCTATCTCCGCAACATATTCTTTGTGACACTGATGTCATGCAAAACAAGGTGTCATCACTTTTTTTCTAAAACAACGACTAAATTTATAATTTGTTTAATTTAATTAAGTCCTTGTTAATGTGTTCCTAGATATAAAAAATTATTAGAAATTGAATACTGACGAGTGGAATTTTTTTTCATATATATTCAATTTTTCAAGGAAATTTAAATATATGACAATGTGTGAATTCATTTTCATATTAGTCTGATTGTATCTTGCATTTGTTCAACAGAAACTTTATCATTTGAGGAAAGAATACTTATTAATAAAATTTTGACAGGATGAAAGCTGCACTCATGACAATGAAAGGATATTCAAATTATTTTCATAAAATTTAAGAAATGAGTACTGTTAAATTTTAAGTGCATACACAAGCACTAGTGATATACACAAGCAATAAAATGTAAATGTGCATTACTGGAATAAAACAGAAGCTATACTAAAACTAATACAAAGTGGCTTACAATTTCAATATCAGGCTTTGCTTTTTTCTGTCACTATATTTGAACATCTTTTGTACTTGAACTGTTCTAATATATCTTAACGTAATCGAAGAATATTTTTAAGTATCGCGAAAAGCTTATTTAATTTTGAAGCTGTAAAATTTGTCAAAAATATAATTATTACCCAAGGAATTTGTCACTTGTAAGAAATGCATATGAGATGCAATATGTCCATTGCTTTCCTTGATTAAAAGTTAACAAAGCAAGCATATAGTTTGTTTTTTTTTTTTTTTTTGCAAAAAGTGGGACAAACTCAAAGGTCAAGAGGTCAAATATGTTGTTACACCCCAAAAGGTCTAGTCATATGGAATGACCTTGTGTGAAAAATATAAACCATAACTCGTGCCATTCAAAATGTAATGCAAGACAAATGATACCGCCGATGTTTTCGAATATGTGTGCAAAAAATGCATCCTTTTGAAAGAAATGATTACAAATCAGTTTTCAATACTACAATTAAAGTATCCTTCACACCAAGAAGAAGGATAATATCCATGAGTTAAGCAACCATTAAAGATTTTCAGTAATATTGGTACCAAGACCGTTTGACCATGTTTAAGCATTTCATTACATATTCTATCAGTACCAGCTGCCTTACGATTTTTTTAGTTTACCTATTGCTTTACTTATTTCAGTGAAAGATATTTTGTAGTCAAGTTCATTAAATATGGGTGTTGTTGTTTTCTCAGCTTGTTTTAGTTGGTCTTTAAGAAACTGATCTCGATCAAGGAAATCCTCATGAGTTTTATTCAATTTTTTGAAGTGGTTTAACCACTCATTATTAGAGATTGATGTATCAATTGTCTTTGTATTTCCAGTTCTTAATTCGCCTATAAGTTTCCAGTATTTTTTTGGATCAGTTGAATTTAAAGCATTTAGGTTGTTGATAATATTAGAATGGTATGTTCTAAATTTTTGTTTTCGTAGTTTGTTATATATTCTATATGCTTTGTAATATTGATTCTTAATATTGATATCTCTGGGGTAGTGGCCAAATAAAGTTCCCTTCTTAACTAGTTTTGAGCGCATATTTATCAACTCGTTATCAAACCATTTCTTTTTATGTTTAGCAGAGCTTTTATTACTTTTACAAGTTTTATTTTTAGGTAAGTTTGGTTTTAATGACATAATGGCTGCAGCTTCCAGGGAATCTTTTAATCTACTTATTGTCGATTCTATAGATTCTATGTCATTGATGCTCATGGTGTTATCAAGATTGCATTTTATTTTGGTGGATTGTAATGCCTCTATAAATTTAATAGCAGAGTCTCCCCCCCACTTAAAGGATGAATGGGTCTTGTAATTATTATTATCTATACTATTTTCTCTATTAGAAGAATCGTGTTGAGAAAAAATATTCCATGATAACATACAGTGGCAGTCAGATAATGTGGAAATAAAATCTGATACTTCAAAAAACAAAATACGTTGTACAATATCTTCATCAGTTAAAAGATAATCAACAACACTACTTCCATGATAATTATGGCAAGTGAAATTTCCAAAAATGTCACCAAAACATCTTCCGTTCATAATACGAAGTT